AAAAATAAAATCAACTGATCTTTGACAAAGTAGCAAAGATAATATGTCATCAAATTCCTCTCTTTTCTTGAAGGCCATAGCTCTAGTTCCAGAAGTTATCAAAGGGAACAGGACTGGGTCCTTTCTGGTACATTACCTGAGGAAGATTATTAATCGTTTTATGGAGGTCTTAAGGGAAGTTTAAGCCACATTCCTGAATGATTCTAAGACAAGCATGTAAAGCTGCTTAGTTTTAGTGTGCACATCTTACCTTCCCTATAAGAAACAATACTTTGTCTGTTTTCCTTGTCATCTAACATACAGAAGAAGCATAATTAAGATTTTGCAAAATGACAAGATGGATATTTAACTCTTGACCCAGGGGTGTCTCAAACGAAGCCTCAACAATTACTCCTATTAAATTGTTAGTATACCGACCATGTGCCAGAGAGTTTCTACACTAGCATGGTCCACTAGATACACAATGTAAGCCATGTATTTTTTTAAAATTTTCTAATAGCAAGATTTTTTTTTAAAAAAAGAGATAAATCAATTCAAATAATGTATTTTGTTTAACTCCACATATCTGAACCATTGTCAGTTCAACACGTACTCAATATAAAATTAATTAATGCCTCTGATTAATTGAATGGCATTAATTAATTTTATATTGAGTACGTGTTGAACTGACAATGTAAGTCACTTCTATGCATTTTAGTGTCCTCACCTGTACAATGGGCATGGGTGGAGTGGATCATCCAGGGTGGACACTACTTGCTTTCACATCCCTCTTTCCCTCTTGGTGTCTGGTAAGCTGGCTCTCCTGTTACCGTGAGGTCTTTGATGTACACCATTCCTTCTGATTTTGATGAAGCATTCTTCTGACCCGTAGCTTTCCTGGTTGGGGCAAGATGCAGCCCTTCCGAGCCCAAGAGATGTGCTGCATTTTCATTGGAGTTTCTTCTATTTTCAGCATGTGGCCCAGCATCAGCTTCTTGCTGCTTTCTTGAAAGATAGGAAACTTGTTGTCTGGGCACCCAGTTTGAATTTTCTGTCTTCTTTGTTCTCATGCATGTTGTAGAAAGCTCTACACTCCCAAGGAAATTCGACTATATATTTCCATCATTTCCCTTCTCTCTCTCCAAGAAATGCAAGAAAATAACTGTCAACTGTTTTTGCATATATAAATTTTAACAGCCCATACATGTCAACTAATCTTTTATCCAGGAAGGAAAAGCTTATTTCAAGTGATTGAAAGTTGAAATGCTTAGGTTTTCATTCTTGTTGTGTAATGGAATCACTGTGTGGACATGCTATTTTATGATTAGTTTATCAGCCCCCCTACCCCTAATCCACTAATACTAATGACTGCCTACTATGTGCAAGGGCATAGTGTCTATGGAGGATAAGGCAAATGTTCGAACAACCATAGCAAAAGTTAGAAGGAGCATATCCAGTGTTTTGAGAGGGGTGTAAAGCACTAAATTCAAATATTTGGTTTGGGGGGAATCAAGGAAGTCTTCATAGAGGAGTTGTCATAGAGAATGAATCTTGAAAAAAAAAAGTAGGTTTCAGTAAACAGAGAAGACAGGAAGGTCACTGAGGTCTGAGAAGTGGCACTGACAATTATCTATATCCTAGAGATCATATAGAAGAAGGAGGGGGAGGAGGAATAGGAGGGACCAGCATAGCATGTGGTGTGACCAGACAACTACATGTGTATTAAAGGGATTATATAAGTATAAAAGGCAGTTTGGCAAACTCAGACTAATGGCAGTAGTGTCACACTGCTTCCATCCATAGGAGACAGCTTAATGAATCACAGCCCACACCTTTCCAACTAACCTTAGGCGCTCCTCCCCAAGATGAGATTGAGTCGCCAGTCTTGGTGTAGGAGTACCGCGTTAAGTGAGGTAGAGCCTTTAATACCGTGTTGACTAGTTAGTAGTTAATTGGATAGGCAATGGGGAGACATTAAAGTCTTGTAAGCAGGGGAATGACATGGTGGGAAATGAGAGCTGTAGTTCAGGGTAATTTACTCAGCAGTGCTATCTCAAATGGATTAGAATGGTTATAAGACTGAAGGCCAGTTATTTGGAAGGTCACTGCAATAGTTTAGGTGAGCAATAGTGGCTTGAATTGAATGAACACAGGAGAGGGCAGGTGTCATAGAAGTAGAATTTATAGAACATGGCAAGTACATTAGGACAGGGAGAACTAGGGGCGGGGGTGAGAGAGGGACAGAGACACCGAGTCCCAGTAATTACTTTTAGAGTAGGAGAAATGTAGGGCTACCATCAGGAAGGGAGCCTGGGATTGACAAGAAGGTAGGTAGGGTCCTTGTAGGGCTGGAGAGAAAAAGAAGAGAAGCAAAAACCTGGATTTAGGCTTATCTCTTCTACAAAGCACATTTTTTGAAGCCTTTGCCTGTCTGAGAACTCACTGTGAGGTAAAAAAACCATTTTGAGCAAACATTGTTGCCCTTTGTCAATGAGCACATCTAAGAAAGGCTCCCATCTCTCCAAATATTTGGAAAATTGGAAAGCCCTAATTAGTAATCAGGGAAGGGGCAGGAGGGAAGGAAAGAAATATAAACCCAATCACTGTGCTTTTCAGGTTTGAAATGCTTCCCCAATCCAGGAAATTTACACTTTAGTATCAATGATTGACAGTCAAGGAATGTATCTAACTCACTTTTATTTTTCCCTTGGGGAAAGCACTTGAGTTCCCAATTGTTTTAAATTGCAGAAGCAGTAATTGTCTTAGAGAGTGAGGAGAAATGTTTTTTGGAGCTGGGACCTCTCTCTGAAGGGAATATAAAGCCTATCTTAACTGGTTAAGGTCAGTAGAGCTGCTTTTCTGGGAGATCTATCCAGGGTGACTAAATCCCACCTTAGTTAAATTAGAAAAGTAAAAGTACCAGTTGAATGACCAGGGGAGCAGATTTAACTAAAAAATATTAACAAGTTGCTACTGGTACTTAAAAGGAAGCCAGGGTTACTTTTTGAGCTATTTGCATTCTACATAGAATTATTGGTGAAATTTAATTTGAAAGTATGTTTCTAAGTATTCTTTAAAAATACAATGCAGTTAATATAGTTTAAGATGCTCACTGTCCCAGAGGAAATTGTTGATTAAACTGTTCACTTGATATATTTGTTTACTTAGAAAAGTCAAGTGCGATCAGTTAGGTCAATTGCAACAAGAACATTATTAACAGGCTAACCAATGGTAAATGATGTGAAGGCTACTCTGGAAATCTGTTCTTTGATGTATGGGGAAACTCACACATCTGATTTGGGATAGAGGAGACAATCATGGCATTGTGTGTAGGCGCCAACAGACAGGCTAAAGCCAGGGATCCTTGCAGAGACTGGATTAAGGTATCAGAACTGTTCACATCTCATTTACATCACCCCAAAGAGTGGACCACAGGTTTGCTGATTAATACACAGACCATGGCAAAGAGCATTGTGTATGAAATCAGATCAAGATCAGTAACAGAAACTTCAACCATGTGTGAAATTTGGCATATAGAAGTTCCTCTTAAGCTATTATCTAACAAGATTTTAACCCCCTTATTTTTTAAAAAGCATTTTTTTCCAAACTAGAAAGTTAGCAAATGCACAATGTTCCCCAATTCTCTCCCCCACCCCACCTCCTTAAACACATATTTATGCCACCTTCTGGTATATAATAATATTTTATTGTCAAAGTTTTTGAGCCTTGTGAAAGGAAGATGGGGGTGTATGTTAAAAATGGACTGATTTCATCAGTGTCTTTGCAGGCAAAAGAAAATGGGTGGATTGATATTGAGATAGAGATATCAAGATACTACTTGAATATTTCCATCCATCCAATTTGTATTGTTCCTTTATACTGTAGTTTGGGATGAAGGTCACATTGATGCAATTTTAGGTTTTAAGCATCCACTAGAAGATGGGTTGTTTCAAATGAAGGAGATCGGAGATCGTAGAATAATGCTTTCAATGATGTGACTTATTAGGAGTATCTTAATTCTATCATCCAGACATTATGAATACCACGCCAGTATATCAATCTTTTATGGCAAGACTAAACAGCAAAAGTACCAGTGGGAATCAACAATCAGCGGCCACGCAGGAGTTAGATGCAGTGTGGCATATTTTCTGCAATTTAGACAGTCAGTCATCCAACAAACAGGCCAAAGTTTTCTTCGGTAAAAAGTGCCCTGCCAAATGGCTGGCTTCTGGATTCGTCGCTGAAGAAACAGCAAAGGAGCTGAAAGCGACCTCTTTCAACCACACCAGAAATTAGCTGTGGATGGCGATACTAGACTCACAAAATCTGTTTCAGGCACACATACGTATCTAACCAAGATTGGAAACCCACTGACTGTCCCGTTTCAAAGTAAAAAGTGCCACGTCCTCCATTTTCCTCCTTCTTTGGGGTGTTAGTCCAGTTCTAATTCTTTCTTAGTTTCCACTCAGCCCTGGATAGGGCTGGCAGGGAGCTACCTGAGATTTCTCAACGTGGATAACCGCATTTGTCTCCTCCCAGGCTGACTGTGGATGGGGATGAGTTCTGTTCCCGAGAGAGTCTCAAAAGTAGACACACAATCATCTCGCCGATTTTAATTTCTGTCCCTGGGTTGAGAAGAGAGGAAGATTGGGGCGCAGGAGGAACTCCCCTCCTCCTCCCCTCTTTTCCCCACCTCCCAAAATTAGCAGCCTGTCTGTGGCTCTCGGTCTGGGGTCTGGAGGGTGGGGAATGTGGGTGTGGGGGCCGGCTGGAGAAGCCCTCGCTAGCGCTGCCTGTGGCCAGACCCGCCTCCTATCCCCTCTCGGGCGCACACACACGTCCACCTAAACACTCCGCGCGCTCCCTCGCGCTCTCGCTCGCCCGCCCGCCGCCGCCTGCTCTCTCCCTCCTGCTCTCGCCGGTCTCCTTCTCCCTTTTTTTTTTTTTTTTTGGTACCATAGAGTTGCTCTGAAAACAGAAGATAGAGGGAGTCTCGGAGCTCGCCATCTCCAGCGATCTCTACATTGGGAAAAAACATGGAGTCAGCTCCGGCAGCCCCCGACCCCGCCGCCAGCGAGCCGGGCAGCAGCGGCGCGGACGCGGCCGCCGGCTCCAGGGAGACCCCGCTGAACCAGGAATCCGCCCGCAAGAGTGAGCCGCCCGCCGCGGTGCGCAGACAGAGCTATTCCAGCAACAGCAGAGGTAGGAGGCTGGAGAGGGGCTGGGGAGGGGGCGGCGGAGCCCCGGCGCGGAGCGGGGGGCGGCCGGGAGCGGGCGCCCAGGGCGCGGGGTCCCGCGGCGGAGCGCGAGCCTGCAGCTGCGCCCGAAGCCCGGAGCACCCCCTCGCCCCTCCCCCCTCCGCCCCCCAGAAATGTTGCAAACTTTTGCAGCCCGTTCTCGGCTTGCGGGAGGAGAGGGGGGCGGGGGAGGCGGCGGGAGGGTTGACAGCCGGCGGACCCAACCCCTGGCTTTGATTTTTCTGCAAAGACAGGAGGAAAGCCGCGTTGCCGAAATGAAATACTCTCCCCAAAATACGGAGAATCAAGGAGTGGGGGCCCGGGAAAGAAACTTTTAAAGCGGCAGTGTCCTTTTAAGAAGGAAAAAATATATATATATCTGCTTATGGCCACCCTCCTCCTCCTTTACCTTTTCCCCTCTTGACAGTTTCGGCCCCAGCTGCTGGAGTCGGGGGTGTGTTTTCGGTCCCCCGCAGAGCTTGGGGGGTGGGAGGAGTGAGTAACCGGGGAAGCCCCGGGGGTTAAGGAGAGGGGGCGCTCCGGGGTCTGGGGGCGACGCGGGCACCCTCTCTGGAGTACAGCGATGGATTTGGGCTTTGGAGGAAAGGCCAGAAGAAACAGGGTGCGGGCGCGCGAGGTGCTAGCCAAGTTGTGTTGCGGGAGCGGCGAGGGGAGATGCGCAAGTTTGCGGACCCGGGTTCGGAGCCCAGCGCCCGGGCTGGCGGGGGCGTGTGCGCGCCAGCGCACCTAGGGCGGCGGTCCGGTGGGGCACTCCACGCGCAGTCGGAGTTAGCCGCTACAAAAAAACAAGCAGAGCAAGAAAGCTCGATAGGCACCCAAACTTATTTCTGCCTTGAGAATCCTTCCCTTTCTGAGATTCCTAGTGTTTCTGCAATAACCCGGGGCTGGTCAGTGCAAGTTGAATGCTGGTTGGATAGTGAGAGCGATTTTTCCCCTCCCTGGGAGATTTGTACACTTCATTTTGGTGTTTGGAGTGTGTATGGGGGCTGGGGGGCGGGCTCCGATGCCCCTCCTGGCGTTTTCCTAGTTAAAGTAGGTTGTTGAGGAAAGCTTACTCTCTCTCTCTCTTTCTTAAAGGTGTTTGAACCTGATGTGGGATTTTTTTCTTACCCCCCCTCGGGTGTGGGGGATTATTTATTTGAATGCGCCTGGAGTTTTCAAAGAGCAGGAGGAAGCTACGGCTTTAATTACTGTTGTAAATAATGTATAAATCACGCCTGTCACTCCGGAGGAAGCGGGCTAGCGGGAGCTGCCCGGGGTTGGGGACAGAGAGGATCTCTCCAACCCCGGCTTGGGCACCGGCCCAGAGCGCCCCCTCCTCTTGCCACTGGGCTTCAGGCGGCGAATGGGGAGGGCTGGGGAAAGGCGAACCCGGCCCTGAGAGCCGCTCCCTTCCTCTTCGATGATATAGTTGGAGGTAGGAATATGGCTGATCATGTGCTGGCTGTTTTACAGTTATCTCCCCCCCCCCCCGCCCCACCTTAGCCACACCCCCTGTCCGGGCGCTTTCCCATTCACGGAATTCGAGTACAGTAAAAGCCATCAGGATGACACACGCGAAAAACATTTAATTAAAGGCGATTTCTGAAGAGTGACCACGCCGAACCGCGGTTTGAGCTAGAGGGGGGCAGTAAGGCTGGGGCGAAAGGGAAGGGGATGAGGGCTGGGGGCCGGACCTGCAGCTAGATCGGTGAGTTTGTGTGCGGAAAGCTTTTGGCTGCAAAGAGTATATTTAGACCCTGAGACGGTGGATTTGGAATGCGAGCGGGTTATGTAACAGGGTTAATCAGAAACACTGGAGAAAATCCCCTTCATGTGTTTCTGAGGCTTTTTTTTTCCTCTCTCTCTTTTTAAAAAGGGAGAGCATAGTATATAGGAAGCGGCACTAATTTCTGGTTTGTGTTATCACCCCCCCCCCCTTTTCAGCCCCTCCCCCCTCCGGTATGTTATTAGCATCTTCAGGTGTCATTCTTGCCAGAAGGTGTTCTTGCAAGAGATAGGGGTGGCAAGCTGCAGAACCGACTAGCAAATCCGTAACTTGCTGTTCTTGCAAATTATATAACGCCAGGGCATTCAATACCACCTAGGCTCAGCACAAAGGGGAGAGGGATAAACTAGGAGTAGCATGCATCTTATGCAGCTGACCTGCTGACCTATATCCCCTTTCCTCTTAGAGCCCCCCCCCCCCCATTCTGTCCATCCCTGGCCATGGCTCTTAGGAGATTTAGTGGGAGGGGGGAGGTAAGGCCCAAACACTCAACTCACATCCTGCACGCAGGCACTAGGTTATATAACAGTCTGAATGGAAAAAGGAAGGTCAGAGATGGAGGCATCCTTTAGCTAACACAGCAGTAGTAATAGCTTCCAGAAATTATGTGCATTTGCAGACTTTAACCTCAGATGTAGCGTCTGCTCCTCAGGGGTACCAATCTTTGTGTGTGAGCTGGGAGAAAAAGAGAGAATGTGTAAGTATGCCTGGCAGTTGAGAGTGATTTGAAAATGGGAAATGTTTGGGTTTTCAGATGATGTAATGGAGTTGGCAGAATATGCAAGTCTGCTTCCAGAGTGTAAGCAGTAAGAAAATTGGAGCTGGCATCCAGTATTAATGTTGCATAAATTACAATATCGGAAAAAAATTAACCTACACACTAGGTGATTACGCCTTTTAAATACTTAAAACATAAAGGCACACGACTCAAAGAAAAAGCAAACATCATCACCTTATAATTAGCATTTTCAACCTCAAGGAGGGTTGAGTGGAGTTCTTTGCATTGGGGAAAATGGGAAGCTTTCTGACTTGGGAGATGCTGCTCAAAGAGATAGCGGTTAGCCTCTAGCCAGTGAGTGTTTGAAGTCCACAGAGAATGTGGTCTGGATTCTCATGACATTGAGGTGACCTCATGAGACATTACCTAGATAGACTTGATTGAGGCTATTGCTGAATTCCTACCTCCTGGGAATTCAAGTGTGAATGGGCTGTGTACCTTTAGCGCCTGAGCTTCCAAAATCAGATGTGTGACTTTATAATCTGAAAGATGACCTCCCCCCATTCTTACAACGGCAGGGAACCTTAGCAGTTTTAATGAAACTCTTCCGTTTTCTAGGTGGTATTAATGATGGCTGGTGTCATTCAGTCCCATCTTTACAGCACAATGAAAACCAGAGAAAAAGACAGGCAAGAGGCAACATGGGACGTAAGAAGGAAGCGGAAAAAAACCACAGCGAATCTTTAATTTAACAAGGCTTTCAGAGACTTCAGGGAGCCATGAGCGTTGTGACATAACTGTTGTTAAAAAACCCTTTTTCAGAACCTCGTTATTATATGCGTGCCGGAAGCTTACATATTTTACTTCAGTAAAGTTATCCTCACAGGGCTGGATTCCATGCACTGGGTTTGCAACACCAGTGCAGAACGTTGAAGGCTTTTAGAGCAAGCTGACCTAAGAGAAAAATCGAAGCCAAAAGATGGGATTAGCATTGAAAAAAAAGCTCGGTTGGGTTGAGATCGAACCCCTGGAAGCTTGGCTTAGATTGACTTAAAATCAGTTAACAGGGCCTACAATTTATTTGTAGCCCTGAGGACTTCTAGAACCACAAAACTCCTTGACTGTGAAAGTATGTCCCCTCCTCTCTTCCCTTTAATCTCAGGTGAATCACTTTCTAGTAGGTTCTCTCCCTTAGCAAGTTAGCACCCTTTCTAGAGATGGATTCTCAGATCAACTTTTCAGGCATGAATCTGGCTTCTCTACAGTGAATAAATGAAGCCCTGTAGTTTGAAAGTGCTCCTGGCTGGGAGAAAATCCTTTGCCACAGGGACGAAGTGATTTTTTCTTAAACTGAGGGACTTTAATTTTCCGGTAAATTGCTCATAAAAACATTTATAATTATATGCTTTAAAAATGTAATATAATAATTTTAGAAAATGCATTTCATGATAGTTATGATAACCTTTTTCTGTTGCTCCCCCCCCCTTCTTTCTTAAAAAGAATTGAATTATTAATCTAGAATTCAAGTCTTGAGTGGCTAAAACATTTATAGCAGACTCTTTTTATGTTAGTCACCTGCTGGAATTTTCCAAAACCTACAGGCATGATGTGGAGCCCTTGACTTTAGAAAATGTCTCTTGTTTCTGAAACTGAAGCTCGGATGAAGCCTGCACTGATACCCCCTCAGGATGAGACCCTTCTGCTTGTGTGTTTGAGGCAGCAGAGGCTGGAGTGCACAGCACATGCCCCTCATTCCACACAGACTCCTGAAGTGGGACACAAGGAGGCCTGAGAATGGGAACGGTGATAACCAGGCCTCCTGATGACAGTGGTCTGAGGAGTTTGATGACAGCTGAATCTCTTTGGAAGCAAACTGAATACTCTATGGACCTGACCTTTGGAATGCCAGTAAGACCAGCCCTTGGCCAATCTTCTTGTCACTTCTGAGTTAAGATGTACTTTTTCTCCAGATTCATTGTGGTGGTTGTTTCCCCACCCCTGTAGGAGCTTGTAGTGTAATGTTAGAAGGACAGATTGAATTGGGTGTTACTGAAAATTCTCTTGGTGTGGTGTGGACTCTCTGGGCTACTTTTTTTGAGAGTACTTTCCCTTTCCCCTCCATCTTCCTAGTCCACTTGATGAATTATTATTATTATTATTATTATTATTATTATTATTTTAAGTTTTTGTACGTACTTCTGCATCTGAGAAAGAAAAAATACCTAACTGCATTTCAGGCATCTGGGAAAAGAGATGTCATGTAACTGCCCTGTGTGTGTATGGTATGTGTGTGGGGGGGTATAATTATATATCCTAATAGGATATCTGCTGTCCACCCTCTTTGTCTTCCATGAGCCATGTACAGGGACTTTGAGGTCAGCATCATCCATTCCCTCATGGAGACTCCTGACCCATTGATCCCAGATTAGTGATAAATTCCTCCAGAGCAAGAAGTCCT